CATAAACATACGGTTTCACATTTCAAAGACTGTATTTGGCCCTGGAATCCAGAAAGTAGTATATAAATTTAACAAAAAACACAGCAAAGAAATTGCCTCTTCACACAGTATCCTGCTGAAACTAAAGGAAACCGTAAACTTTTACAATAATTTGGGGGGGGTCTTATTTATTTATTATTTTGCTAAATACACTATAATTAGGTCAGATAGGTAACCAAGAAGAAAACAATTTCACTGTGAATTATAAAAAGAACAACAACAAAATGTTTGGTATTAAGTAAAGGAATTTTCATCATATATATCCCTTCTCCCTGAGAAAAAAGAAAGTTTTTTTTGATTCGATGAATCTACACCAATGAAAAGTAACCCTCCCTCTCCCCCCCCAAAAATATCAAAATGCTAACATTATGCTCTCCAATATGTCTAGGGAACAGAAGACATCCTTCGCTGCTTCATCAAGGAAGGTAATGCTGAAATGATCCGCCAGATCGAATTTATCATCAAGCAGCTCAACTCAGGTTTGTGGAATGCGCAAAACAAACCTATGATCCATCTTTTGAATTTTCATGTATGCCAGAAAGAGCCATGGGATTTCCTGGAGGCCCTTGTCCTAGCTCGGAATTCACTCCCGTGAGCCCAAGTGAACCCACACGCAAAGTTGGACGAGGTGGTCAAGGCCAGGTTGTCCCAAGTTCAACAACCTCTCAGCATACTTCAGGCTGCAGTCAGAAAAAGAATTCAGAGCAACTACAGAACGTTCTCTGTCAGTCCCTGGGTCTCTCCCCTCCTCGTGAGAGTGCCTGCCCCAGACGCCCAGGGTCAGATCAAGAAAACAGATTCGGGTTTTCCAGCACCCACATGGACAGTGTCCAGGTCTTCCCACATCCGTTCACTCCAGACAAATGCAGCTCACCGAGAAGGCAAAGTGACCCCCTTTCTCTCCAGCCCCCTCTGTGACCGTAACAACCCCCACCCCATAGGTGAGGGACGCCTTGGACGGCACAGGTGGTGGGAAGCTCTTTCTGTGAACTGCCACCTTGGCCCTGACACGTATACATGTCCGGGCCACCTGGCACTGCCAGCATTTGGGGTCAAGTTTGCCACTGCCAGCTCCCTCCCAGCTCCCTTCCCCCCGACACCCAGCAGCCTGTCAACGTCAATCCAGACACTGCCCAGCACGGGGAAGCATGCCAGCGGCTCCTAACCTGTACTCTACACTCGGCAGCTGGAGCGAGCCTGGGCCAGAGGGAGCCGCTGCCAGCCCCTACGCCCCGGAAGGAGGCTGCGGGTGGCTCTTCAAACCCAGGGTCACAGCCGGGCTGCGCGAGGCACTCGCTGGGGGCATGAGAACCTCCAGCCAGCCCCCCACACCAGTTAAACCAGAACCCCTAGGAGCGCCCCAGGTGTGAGTAGTTACAGTCCCAGAGACACCAGCATGCAACCGAGGGGACCCATCCCTGTGTCGCCCGAGCAGAAAGGGGGAGACGGCGCTGGAGGGGCTCCTGCTGCCCTGGGCGTGGGCACAGCAGCCGTGTGAGCTCCCTGTCGCCACGGGCCGCCGCATGGAAACGCCTCCTGTGGCTATGGAGCAGGTCTGCTCTGTCCCGAGTTCAGGTGGGCGAGGAACCGACTTCGGCTCAGACTCCGGGCCCAGCCGCTGGCCTGCGTAGTCAGAACGACAAAGGAAACAAGCCCCTCGCCGCCGCCCCGGCTGAGGGCTCCCTAGCTTTTCTGGTCCGGCCAGCCTGTGGGGCGCAGCGGGGCTCAGGGGGACGCCGCTCCCGCTCTGATCCAGGCCGCTGCCTGAGCGGAGACCTCCCGCCCCGCCCGGGCCTCGCAGCTCAGGGTCACCCCCGGGCTGGCGTTTGCTTCAAGGCGGCCCCGTCCGGCCGTGGAGACCCCGCGCTCGTGTCCTGGCCATCTGCCCCCTTCCCGGCAGCCACGAAGCGGAGCGAGACCAGCCAAGAGCCAACAAACTGCTTTCTCTTCCCAGTGGGCCAAGAATGTGAAGTCAGTTTACCATGTGGTCGGGGACGTACCGTGGCGAGATGCTCGTGGCGCAGCCGCCTGTGTTCAGTGAGGCCGGCCCGGGGCACCAGTCCCGAGGGGCTGAGGCTTGGGCTGTGCCACCTCAGGCACCTGCGTTCCTCGGGATCCACAGGACAGTGGCAGGACCCTAGGGAGTCTGCTGCTCTGAACCCAGCCGGGAAGGCCACCGAGCGCTGGGGGCAGCCCAGATGCGCTCACCCCGCCCTCAGCCGGCATGCTGAGGCCGAGGAGGGGCTCCCACGCCCCCGAGTCTCCTGCAGAGGGGACCGCGGCCGAGCGTGAGGTTGCAGTGGCTTGCTAGCATCGACTTTCTCGTTTCATTAAACATGAAACGTGCGTTGGGGTTTTCATGCCTTCAAGGTCAACCGCCGCCCTGGAGCTGCTCCCCAAGGCAGTTTTAAAGTCTTCAAGTATAAACTTCCCAAGAGGTTGAGGTACCTGGCGCCACAGGTGGGGAGGACAGCTCTGCAGAAACCTGAGGGCAAACCCCAGGGGGCACAGGACAGGTGGAGAGGGGGCAGCCGACACCGGCCGTCCAGCGAAGGGGACAGCGAGGCCTTACAGGTCACCTGGCAGGTGGGAGGCGGCGGCCCGCAAGCAAGGACCCAGGCCACGCCTTGAGGTGTTGGATTAGACGCCTCGCGGGGTGCCTCGACCAGGGAGCAGTGTGGGGGCAGGCGTGGTGTCCCCCTCACCCCCGAGAGGAGGGGCGAAGGAGCTGCTTCCGGTCCCAGCACTGGAATGTTCTGGGGAGCTGGGTGGGTCTGAGCCAGCAGGCTCAGTGGAGAGGATACGGCTGGGCCGGCCTGTGGCCTCGTGAAAGGTTGAGATGCATTTTCAGGAAAGGGCATTTCCACATTTGAAAACGAGAAGTTTCTGGTTGGTGAGAATAGCAGCCGCGCTGTTTTGAAAGCCACTCGCGGTCTGTGAAACGGCCGGCCGTGTGGGCAGGCCGGGAGTGGAAGCTTGGCGATTACGCATCAACCCACAGGCAGAAGGGCAAAGCAAAGCAGGCTTCTTGAGTAAAGAGCGTCCCGGAAGAGTGGACAAGTTAGTGTCCTCCCCGCGGGCCTTGGTCAGCAAAGTCCTTCCCTTGAGAATAAAGTCTCCACGGGGTTGACGGCGTCCTGGGGCTTCTCCGCACTCCCTCCTAGGCCGTGGTCTGGGAGCTTGAGTGGTGACTGCTGCCGCCTGCTTGAGTGTGCCCGGCGTCCCGAGAAGGGCCTTTGGACTCCTCTTCCTCCCACTTCCTTTCCTCCTCTCAGACTGTCTTTACTTAGATGTCACCCGCTCAAGAAGCGAGTGATAAAGGGTGCGAGCGACTCGGCTCCCCTGTCCCCGGGCCCTGGCCGCCTGGCTGGGCCAGGTGGCTGAGTTCCGGCGTGTTGTCGAGGCCCCCAGCCGCCCTGGGCATAGCTGGTATCGTGGCCACTTTACACAGAGCCCCACTGTTTCTCTGACTCCCCGGTGCCGCCTGAGTGTCCTCCTCTGTGGGGACCCTCCTCGCAAGACCTAGCAGTGACCGCGCCACCGTGGTCTCCACTGCCCCAGCCTCTGTGGGAAAATCAGGCGACTGAGAATAGACTCAGCAGATGAGAAATACAGCTCCGCCCTTCCCCTGCTTCCTCTACCTCCCCTTCTCCTTCTCTACTTCTTCTTATGACTGATGCTGGTTGTCAATGAAAAGGCCAGGATCTTGCTCTTGAGCACCATCCTGCATCATGTAGCCTGCACCACGACTCAGGGCTGTCTCTCCTGGGAGTGTGGTCATAAACCAGCCTGTCACCCTCTCCCTTCCACTCACTGTCTGTAAAAGCAGGCAAGGGCCAACAAATCTCTGTGAGGGCGAAATGCAGAAACACGAGTGGTGCTCTCCAGCAGCACTGAGCTCTGATGCCAGTCTACTTTCTTGTCTTGAACTCCTCTCAACTTATATGTTGGTTTTTAACTTTTCTTACACTGCTATGAATGTCCCTGAGAGAATTGAGATTTGTTTACAATTTCTTAGCGCAATCTCAAATTCTGGCTACAGCTTGGTGCCCCGCGGTCTCGGCAGGGGCTGATGGACGTCTTTTTTTTTTTTTTTTTTTTAAAGATTTACTTATTTATGCATACAGAACTGGGGTACGGGCCAGAGGTGTGGGACGGGGGGAGTGAGAGGATTCACTAGAGACAGAGTGGGGAGCAGGACAGGCAGATTGGCTAAAACACACTGCAGAGGGGAGCAGCGGGCGGGCCAGGAGAGGTCTGCCGCGCCATGTGGGTCACCTCCGGGGCAGGCGGGGATCAAACTCGTGCTGCAGTGGCTTTAGCTTCTCAGCGCTGTGCTGTAACCCGCTGCGCCACCAGGGAGGGCCCCTGACGGACGTCTTTGACCCGGCTCCCATTGTGTTCACAGTTATTCCTTGATTTTTTTTTCTTTGCAGAAGAGCTAGTGGAAGGTGTTCTTGAATCCGATGACGACGAAGATGAAGATGATGAAGTAAGTCAGCAGTTCCCCCACCAGGTCTTTTCTGAATGTCCTCCTTGCCTTGAAAGACGAGTCCACAATGGGAGTTTCATGCCAGCTGCACTGTTTCCCACAATTCTGCCGGCTGGGCAACCTTCAGCCGGGTAGGTTTTCTGCCGGTCGTGTCCAAGCGGGCCGTGCCGCCTCCACATGACCTCTGCTCACTCAGTGGTCTGGCCGGGACTTCCCTAGAGGCTGGTAGCTGGGCTCTTCGGGAGGCAGTGAAGCTTCCGGTCCTCTCCTGGGCTCAGCAGCCTCAGAGCCGCATTCTGCTTGGCCATCACGGGGCCAGCCCGGGGGGTCAGCCCTGGACTCCACCTGCAGGAGGGCTCGGGAGGGGGCTGGCCAGGCCACCCGGAGACCACACATTTAGAGGCGGGGGGAGCACATTCGGGGCTCCAGGAGGCCTGGCGATAGCACTGGTTCCCCGAGCCTCCACGGGGGCCTGAGCCTCCACCAGCTCGTGCGGGCGGGAGCGTGGTGCACAGAGGTTCAAGGTGAGAATCTGCTGTGGGACGAGACCTGGGCTGGGTTCAGAGCTGGCAAGCCGAAGGCTGTACTCCGTTTTCCTGATAGGGGTTTCCTCAGCTATGAAAAATCAGCTTACTTGGGTTTTTAGAGCATGAAGACTCAGAAGTGATGCGGGTGAGCCCCGTGAAATGGCATTGAGAGAATGGTCACTGCTGCGCGTAGGGGGTGGTGACGAGCTCATTTGACTGTTTTCCTCGGGCGGACCATGTTCCCTAGTGCTGTACGACACAGGACTTCATTCTAGGAGGAGACGGGGAAGCAGTTACTGCTGAAGTGAGTGCTGGAAGGTGTATTT